TGGGGAAACTGAGGTTACAGAGAGGAAGTAACATTTCCAAAGTCTCTGGCTAATGAGTAGTGGACTGAGATTCAATCCTGGACCGCTTTACCTTCTAAGACCATTTCCTTGTTCTTCTATACAGCGTCACCTCCTGATGTAAATGTTAACATAAATGAAACCTAATTTCGAAGACGTATTTTTGGGGCTGGAACTAACAAAACATTCCAAAATCAATTAACAGCGTATTTTTACACTTTTCCTCTATTTTTACATATAAGGAGGAAGAGGTTGTGTGAGCAATCATAAACACGTATTGAATCTTTGGATCAGCTACCATCCTTCACCTTTAAGGTCTTATTTTCAATGAATAAAGAACAGAGACTTAGCCTGGCAATAAGTGTGCCTGAAAAATGCTGCTTGGGACAGGAAGTGTTTGAGGAATGAATTAAATCGTGATTCGCTGTGTCACGGTCTGTACTGAAGAGAGACAGAAAGGAACATGTGCTTGTGAGAGAAACAGGGCCAGGGTGTGACTTTTCCAAATGCTTTAAGAGCTGTGGTTTCACGTAAGTGTTACTTGCAAGCTGCCCACAAATGCTGCCGCCTGGGCTTCCTGCGCCGGGTCTCCCTGGAAAGCCTGAACGAGCTTTGGCACTGAACATGATCTTGTCCAGGGCCAAGAATTTAACACAATTAAATCTCTCCTTCTTGACTGAGAGGCCTGAAACCTAAAGCTGCAGAAAGGCGGGAAGGAAAGAGAAGTATGAAGGCGAGAGCCCACTACTGGCTCACGGTGGAGGAGTAAATTTCACCTCCACTCCTGCCTTCCAAGAGCCAGCATCTGGCCAGATGTTTAGTTCCACTCGTTGTCTTTCCAGACGAGGACAAAGTGCATGCCATTATCTGGTTTCTTCAAAGTCTCTATAAGAGTCTCTGCCAGACGCTTGGGTTCATATTTTGAAGCAGTGAAAAAGAAAGAAAGAAAAGCAGAGAGAGAGAGAGGTGACTAATTCTGTGGAGAATGTTTGCCCTTAACATTCTTCTCTAAATATTTGGGTTATTAAAAGGATCTAACGATATCTTATTTTATAAAGAAGCAGAAAAACATAGTGACAGCTGGGCCCAGTGGCTCATGCCTGTAATCTCAGCACTTTGGGAGGCTGAGGTAGGAGGATTGCTTGAGGTCAGGAGTTCAAGACCAGTCAGGACAACATAGGGAGACTCCATCTTTACAAAAAAATAAAAAATTAGCTGGGCATGGTTAATCCTGGTTAGCACACCTGTAGTCCCAGCTACTTGGGAGGCTGAAGTGGGAGGATGACTTGAGTCTGGGAGGTCGAGGCTGCAGTGAGCCACCACTGCACTCCAGCTTGGGCAACAGAGCGAGACTTTGTCTTAAACAACAAACAAACAAACAGACAAACAAAACAGTGACTCTGAAATCAGAACTAGATTCCTAACCAGCTCTCTTAATTACTGGCTGTGAGCTTTAACCAAGCCATTTATGTGAAGATGTAGTATTTTTATCTGTGAAACGGGAATACTAACACAATACAAAGTACCTCATGCAGCTTAATAAAGAAGAACTATTTTTATTATTATAACTCTGTGATGAAACTATGTCCTTGTTCTGGTGTATTCTGATAAGGATTTCCTTTTGAGATCATAAGCTCAGGGACCCATCTATGAGGAGGGCTGGCGTCTTCCATGAAGGGCTGGCTATTTTTGATGTTGATCATTCAGGGAAGGCATGTACCCTCAGTCAGGAAACTGAAATTAGACCAGAGAAGTAACTACCTCCTTCTCATTGTCCTGCATCTACAGCTCAAGGAATCTAGACACGCGTCGGGGCCCTCCTGAATAGCAAGGTGGAAACGAGGAAGGGCCACAAGCTGAAGATGAGAAGCTGTATGGTGTAGGCCAGACTGCATGTCCTACAGGCAGCAGATGACAGCAGCGAGGAGTAGAAACCCCGAAGTCAGAACATCTCCCGTTGTGCATCTGAAGCATTAGAAAAGAAACTGTCCTAGTGGAAGGTGAAGTTCAGGACAGAAGGTGGGGTTTGGCGTCTGAGTGCTTCGTCCCAGGTGGAATGGGGGCTTACTTCAGTAGATTTCCTTGCAAGTCCTTTAAACTTTTCAAAGCTTTCGGTTACATCTATTGCATCTTGTGAAAACTCTAAAATAGGAAGTTTGGACATTGTTATTTCTATTTTTATGAGTTAACTAAGTTAAAGAGATTACATGGCTTGCCCAGGATCATGAGATTAGTAAATGGCAATGCCCAAGGAAAATCCATTAAAAAAAAAATTATTCGCAGTCCAAGATTTCAATGATCTCCATATTAGGAAAGTAAGCATGGCGTGAAGGATTTTTAAACTATCATTTTGCATTATTCACACCACTTACCCTTCCCACTTCACTCACATCTTAGGTAACTGAGTCAACTGCATTCAAAAGAAACATTTTCTGTGTTCCTCATGGGCACATCACTGATGGCTGTCCGAACAGATTTAACTCACTATCAATTTAAGCAAGCAAAAGGACATCACCTGTACGTATCCATCTGGCTCCATGGAGTAATGCATCAAATAAGTGTGACTGTCTAAAACTATGTGCTTGCTTTTCTGATTTAGCCCTAAGTTTATATATCCACGAGTGGGATCAAAAGTGATTTTCTGATTCTAAATTTCTGAAAATCATTATGAGATGTTTAACTGAAAAAATGCTTTGGCGGCATACAATATTAAAAGTTACTCAAGCTACAGCTCAGAAGCTATATACACACACACATATATATACATATATACATATATATATATATATATATTTTTTTTTTTTTGAGTCCCTGTTCTGTCGCCCAGGCTGGAGTGCACTGGCACGCTCTCGGCTCACTGCAAGCTCCGCCTCCTGGGTTCCCGCCATTCTCCTGCCTCAGCCTCCAGAGTAGCTGGGACAGGCGCCCGCCACCATGCCCGGCTAATTTTTTTTGTATTTTAGTAGAGACGGGGTTACACCATATTGGCCAGGATGGTCTCGATCTCCCGACCTCGTGATCCGCCCACCTCGGCCTCCCAAAGTGCTAGGTATACAGGCGTGAGTCACAGTGCCCATCCGCAAAATATATTCAAAGGAATAAAAATGATTGTAGTTAGTTTTCCACAGTCCAAAGCAAGCTAATAATATTTAAAGAGTTAAAAGTGTAATATAATCATCGGTCAGGTTTCTACAATCAAACAGAGTTGAAAGGAGTCAAATATCAGCATAATGCAGATAATGTACTCACTGGCATTGTGGGCCTTTTTTATTTGGATAATCATTTTCACCTTGTGGAAACTTTTCTAGAATTATATACTTTTATGTCTAGTCAGCAAATTAGGCAGTTGAAAAGTATATATGAAGCAACTAATATGTGTCCTGATTAGGTTAGGTAGTGTGGGTATATAAAAAGAGTTTATAAAGGTGTAGGCTCCTATTCAAACCTTGGCAGGGTCAGGGGATGGGGGAGTTAATTAACATATATTAAATATTTTTTTACTCACCCACACCTAGAAAAACAGTACTGTTTTAAATGTGCTGTAGGAGTTCAGATAAATAATGATTAATGTGTTTTGGAATAATTACATAATAAAAAGCTTTGCTGAATACAGTTAGTTTTAAAAATATAAAAATACAGGGGGGTTTGCAGAGAAATCTGTTCAACTCTTAAAATAATAATTTTTAATTTATATGTTTATATAAGAATTCTATTTTATTGACATGAAATACTGGTACTTTTTTTTTGAGATGGTCTTGCTCTGTCATCTGGGCTGGAGTGCAGCGGTGAATCTCGGCTCACTGCAACCTCTGCCTCCCGGGTTCAAGGGATTCTTCTGCCTCAGCCTCCCCAGTAGCTGGGATTACAGGTGTGAGCCACCACACCTGGCTAATTTTCTATTTTTAATAGAGATGGGGTCTTACCATGTGGGCCAGGCTGGTCTTGAACTCATGACCTGAAGTGATCCACCCGCTTTGGCCTCCCCAAGTGCTGAGATTATGCGTGAGCCACCGCACCTGGCCCAGTACTTTTACTGATGAGAAAACGTAATGTAAAAGGAAGGTCTGTCTTACACACAGTACGTGCTGAATCTGGGTCTTTTTTGAAAAAAAGTCATTGAGAAGACTTATTCCTATCTTAATTTTTAAGACATATATTACCAAACAGAAAAATTGTACTAGATACTGGGGATATATGAATGAATAATGCGGTTTCTGTCTTCAAGAGCTTACTGTTTGGTAGGTGGAAACAAGTGAACGAACGAAGGCATTGCAAATCAATGTGGGAGGCTCTATGAGTATGGGGCCATAGAGGAAAAGGCTGAGACAGAAAGCTTCAATTAGTAGGTGACTTCGAGAAGGTCATCCTGGCCAGGCACGGTGGCTCACACCTGCAATCCCAGAACTTTGGGAGGCCGAGGCAGGCGGCAGATCGCTTGAGCTCAGGAGTTTGAGAGCAGCCTGGGCAACAGGGGGAAACCCTGTTTCTACAAAAAATACAAAAACTAGCAGGCATGGTGGCGCGAGCCTCTCCTCCCAGCTACTTGGGAGGTTGAGGTGGGAGGGTCACTTGAGACCGGGAGGCGGAAGCTGCAGTGAGCAGAGATCGCACCACTTCACTCCATCCCGGAGGACAGAGCGAGACCCTGTCTCAAAAAACAAAAGACAAAAACAAAAACAAAGACAGTCATCCTGCATGACAACCAGGAGGGGACAAATGTGTGTTTGTGGGAAGCTGAAATGATGGCGGGGGAGAGAGCAGAGAAAGACACTCCAGAAAAAGGAAACTGTAAACAGCAGACGAAAAAGCAAAGTGAATGAATAGCAAGCCTGAGATCAGACTTAGGGCTTCCTACACTTATTTCAAAGCCCTTCATTATCTATATGGAGAGGGGGAGTCTTTAAACACAAATATTCAGATCATATTGACTGAGATGTAGATATAAATGAATGCTAATAATTACTTTTGGTTATTTTGGGGTGTTAAAAATTTACTGTACAAGATTGTATTCGTTTTAAGTATCTTCTAACATGAGCCATTTTGTAATGATTCAGTTGTTTATATTCAATTTCAGGCAGAATGCTGATCACAGCACCAAATGGGTATCTTCTACAGAAAAAGTTATTTTAATAAAAATATAGTCAGGATTTCCTGAGAGATTATAGAAACAGAAAAAAGCATTAAAACTGTGAAGTCATTAAATACGAGTACTTTGTATTTTGAAGGCTCTTAAAATTTAGTTTATAAATTGCTTTAACATATGCACTGAAATACCATTTAAGATTAGTTTTGAAAATGTGTTCGTTTGAACCACATCGTTAGGTATTTTATTCAAAGCTCTTTATAAAAAGAGCTTTACTATATTCCAGTAGAGTAAACTTGTCCTGAAAATAAGAAAAATTTAACCTCATGCTATGGCTGCAAAGTTTCCGGAAAGCAGGATTTAAAACTTCCATTGTAACTTTAACCAGCGGTCATGTCAAATTTCACAACTAAGAACATTTTAACGCATGTTAACACTGAGCACAACATGGGCACGTTTTTGTTGCTATGAGAACCTTCTATTTTGTATGAGACATTGCAGCCTTGACGACGCAATGTTTGTGCCTATTTTGCGCATGTTTTTCTACAGCTATTCCTCTCCTCTAGTAATAATAGTCGAATGGCTCTGGTTTCCTCTTGCGCCCGGCCCAGTTTTTCCGTTTCAGCTTAGTTGTCATAGGCTGTGCTGCCGCTTTCTCTGGGAAAGGACGGTGAGGACTGGACGGGAGAAACCGGGAGGGCAGGCGCGGCCGTTCTGCAGCAGCCGGGCCGATGGGAAGCGGGAGGAGGAGGCCAGGCCGCGGGCTGGTTCTGTCACCCCCTCGGGAGCCCAGCTCTTCACCTAGCTCTCCGGCGCTTTTCAAAATCTGCAGTTCACAACAAAAATCGAGCAACGCCACGTCGCACAAACAGGACAGGAGGGGCGAGGGTGTGTGTGCGCGCGTGCTGTCCCCAAATGGATGAGAAATAAGGGAAAGGAGGGGCTGGGGACCGTGTGATGAAGTCACACTGCTAGGCCCGGGACTAGTCGGGCTCCGGCCTCGGGTCTGCAGGGACAAGGTTGGGGGCCGGGTGGAGCGGCGCCCG